GGCCAGCGGCAGAGTCTTCTAGGGAAATTAGCACAATATTCCGGAGGCAGTTGAAAATACTGGTGGGAGAAGACGGAAGAACCTTTCGAGCGAAGCCTGAAGAAGCTTCCGAGGGAAGTCGAAATAACTTTCCGGGAAGAATCAGAAAGAAACTTACGGGGTAAGAAAATTCCAGGGGAAGATTAAATAATCTAACATTTTGATGCACCTTCTTGGTCAGATAAAAGAGAAATGTACCTCTCTAATTCCACCAAAAAACAGTTGGTGACACTTGGAATAACTTTAAGCAATAGATAAAGTAGTAGTATACATCATTGATTTAATTGAATGTTCGAGAAGAGCGGCGATTTTTTATCTTCTTTCTCCTCTCCATCATTTGCAAGCATTCCTTGCCAGTGCTGCAAAATCTCGACAATACACGGTGATATTGACAATTCTGTTTTGGTCACTCATTTGAGCTTACAGTCACAGTCAAGGCAAACCATGTCAATTGTCAATGACAATGCTGTCAGTGACGAACATGTGTGTATTTTTATGTTAATTAAATTTTTAACGAAATTAAATGACTTGAGCAACACAAATTACATGCAGCCATTAATGTGAACAAGCATCTACGTCCGGAACTGCTTTGATAACATTAATATGACACAGAATGTACGATACTACACTTTTTTTACCAGATGAATCTTTGTCATTGACGAAAAAATTAATTAGATTTTGACGATGGTTTTTTGAGGATCAAGGCTGCAAGTGACTAAGTGCTGCTTTATTAAAGGTGAATCCTCATCTCGAAGCTTAATTACAGTAACGTGCAATAGTTAAGTGATAACATAAACAGCCACCTTTCACAAAATGACGGTTATTTGCCACTCTTGCACCATCTAAGTAACAGATAAACCTGGCTTCATACCGACATTACAAATGCTGAACTCGCAAGCAACTACACAATCTACCGCTGTGACCGGAATTCTCGCACCAGCGCACTCCGACGTGGCACTGCCGTCTTAATTGCCGTGAAATCCGAGCTGAAGTGTAAGGCTGGCATCTTGTGGGCGTTGAGAGCCTCGAACAAATTGCTGTTCAAGTCGATTTACAACATCAATCGATCTTCCTGTGCTGCATATATATTCGACCAAACAGCCAGCCCGACATTTACACCAAACACGCTGAGTCCGTACAACAGCTCCTTGGTATGGCGAACCCTCACGATATAACCATAGTTGTGGGCGATTACAATCTGCCAAATCTAGCTTGGGACTTCGATGAGGACGTCAGAGGATTTCTGCCTCTCAATGCTTCATCAGGACAGGAACTCGCTGTAGTGGAGTCCATACTGTCTACTGGATTGAAGCAAATCAACGATATGGTGAACACGAATGGTAAGCTTCTAGACCTGGTTCTCGTCAGTGACTCCGATTGCATCGAGCTATTTGAACCACCCTCTGCAATTATGAAAGTTGATTGTCACCACAAGCCTTTGGTTCTAAAAGTTGACACCCGTTCGAGAGATCATCCGCTCCCGTACCCGGCAGCCCGCAGGGACTATAATTTTGCACAATGTGATTTCGATGTTGTTAACACGAGGATTGCCGCCTTGGATTGGGTACAAATACTTGACCAACCAACCATTGATGCCGCCGTCTCCGTATTCTACGACAACATCTATAAAGTAATCCAAGATATTGTTCCGGTGAAGACACGAAAATCTTGTTTGCAATTCCAACAACCTTGGTTGAATCCGCCACTCCCGTTATGTCTATTTTCAATCGATCACTTAAGGATGGCGTTTTTCCGGATGCCTGGAAGCTCGCCTCAATTACACCAATCTTCAAGTCCGGTAACATGCACAAAGTGGAAAATTACCGACCTATCTCGATCCTGAACTGCTTGGCCAAAGTTCTCGAAAGTCTTCTGCATGAGAAGTTGTATCCAGCTGTTCAACCCATAATCTCAGAGTTTCAGCATGGATTCATGAAAAAGCGCTCGACAGTCTCTAACTTGATGACCTACACGAACACTCTTATAGGTAGCATCGAGAAGCGTCAGCAAGTGGACTCTGTTTACATCGACTTCTCTAAGGCTTTTGACAAAGTCCCTCACGACCTAGCCATTATGAAGCTGCACCGCCTTGGTCTTCCACCGTGGCTCGTTTGTTGGTTGAAATCATATTTTCTTATCATCCAGGAAGGTTTTCGTTAAGGTACGTGATTCCAGATCCGAGGTATTCCATATACCATCGGGGGTTACTCAAGGGAGTCACCTAGGACCTCTCATTTTCGTTCTGTTTATTAACGGCGTGTGTGATATGCTAAAGGTTAATGCCATTAAGGATCTTGGGCTCATCTTGGACAGCAAACTACGGTTTAACGAGCACATATGCATGGCAGTTGCAAAGGCCAACTAGATGTGCGCTTATTGGACTGCAAACACTAACAAATCGCCGAGTCTTTCTCCAGAGGATGTTCATATTTGACATTAGTAATCATCTTGACTGCAGTTGTTTGCTCGGGAACATCAATTTCCACACTCCAACTCGCCGTCTCCGCAACTATTACTTTCTGTGGACTCCCGGACATCGTACTGCTTACGGTTATAACAATCCTCTCGATAGATGTTGCCGACTGTTTAATGATGTGTGTGATGTTTTTGATTTTAATATAAGTAGACCAGTTTTTAAGAATAGGATTAAGTCACTTTAAACAGTCTGTATGGCTAAAATGTCAAAGATGGTGGTTAAATAAATAAAATAAATAAAGATGTTCCAATTACATGTAACGGCTTTTGTAAAGCTGTGTTCCATCTCAAATGCTCCGGCGTCTCTCCTACAGCCTTGTTGGAAACGTCCAATAACAAGCAATTGAGTCGGATGGGCAAATCGTGTACCATGCTTATGGACGACATCCGATTCCGTACCTCTGTTCGACGCACTTACGAAGCTGGGAAGGAAATTGCTCTCAGCGGCCACAAGGAGATCGTCGAGAAATTAAAATCAGACATTATGTCTAAGCTCAAGCAGGAGATCCGTTCAAACTTCTCCGCTTTGGTCAACTCAAGCTCGATTAACGCCTAGGTCTTCATCAAAAACTGCTCGACGTCGTAGCCTTTTTGGTAAGCCTTAACCGAGTCACACTTAGGTGAATAACCAAAATGATCTAATGTGCGGGACAGGTGGATTCTTATCTCCATCGCTTGGTCACTTATCCGCACCACCACCGGAACAAAAGTTCTGGCTATACTTTTCACGAATCTCTCGTGATGTCACCACCGGTCAAGAACGAGATTTCGCAATGAAACGTCTAGCTACAGAAGATATCGAGGTTGTGCGTATGGTGGCAAAATGAAAGGATGTAAATACTATGACGTTAATCGGACTTAGCCCGGACCTCAAGTCAAGAGCCCTATCAACGACAACCTAGCCCAAGGGTGTCATATTCCGCGATAATTAAGAACAATACTAATGGAAATTTGTGAAGCCTCAACATACGCCAAAAGCTTTCATTGGACTTCAATTCTCCCAGTGGACCAGATTCGGAGGAAACCGACATGACTACACCTACTCTTCAACCCCGGGACGCAACACTTCTGGTATCACGGAAGGCCTTGATCCCTCCCCAGCACAGTCGAGTTTTTCCTGCCAGCGACCAGCAGCCTTCCGGTCCTGTGCCTGGGACTGGTGAATGGCCGCTTATCCAGGCAAGTACAATTTTCATTTAGGTACATCGATTCATGATGCGTCAATCACTTCCAGCATACCGTCTTTTCAACGCTTCCATTATCAACATCTGATTGCCCACTTGGACGTACCGCCACTGGCATTACGGAAGCCTTCGATCCACCCGCCACAGTCAAGCCATTCCAGCCAGCGATCTGCAGCCGTCCCGGTCCTCTGTGCGGGCGTGATGACGAGGTCATCCAACCCGTCGGTTCTAGTTCGTCATTTCATAATCGATCATCGCTGCATGGCCAGTTGTCTATCTCGCCTATCGCTACGCGTCACGCAAATGGGAGTCACCGGATAATGAGACGCACCGCCGTTAACTTTATTGAAGCTCCTGAACCCCCCATCATCGTCTCGCCAAGTTCAAGCGGCAGTCCATAGAAACGATACGCAAGTATCTTCTGATGTCTTGCTGTATTATCAAAACCTGGGTGGAATCAACAGCTCCCTATCAGAGTACCAGCTTGCATTCAGTGACGCCTGCTACGAAATCAACGCTTTTACCAAAACTTGAATCAATGGCAATACATTATCATATCAGCTGTTCGACCGTACATACACCGTTATGCAATCAATCCAGGTGTGCCCAAAAGGCCAACTGAGCAATGCCAGCCACTCAACTCTGACGAACTTCACTCGGCTGACCGAGTCCTCTGTCGACTAGCGCAACTGGATAACTTCCAAGAAGAGCGGAACCATCTTGTCGCTCGTACAAACGTAACGAAATCGAGTTCGTTGAAGTGGTTGAAGCCCTACGTTGTTGAATTAGGATTGATCCATCTCGACAATGCCGAACTACCTGAGTCTACCAAGCACCCTATTATCCTATGCGCCAAACATCCGTTAGCCAGCATGCTCGCTGTACACTGTCACAAAACGTTGCTTAACGCTGGCCAACAATTGATGTTGGCTACCCTCCGCCAGAAATGTTGGGTTCTGGGCGGACGAAACCTCGTCAGACGCACGTACCATCAATGCATCACTTGCTTCCATAGCAAGCCGAAATTGATTCAGCAAACTGTAGCAGGTCTACCAGCATCCCGTGTCACTCCTTTCTCCGTCTGTGGTGTAGACTACTGTGGGCCGTTCTATGTCAAATCGGCAGTCCGGAAGTCATCTGCTTTTCCACACGATCCGTCCACATTGAGCTCGTGAGCGATCTTACGTCTGCCGCATTCGTCGCCGCACTGCGTCGCTTAATAGCTCGAAGATTACCGAGCTGCATTCAAATAATGCCACGACCTTCAAAGGAGCTTCACACGCCTTGCATCGAGCGTACCAAATGCTGAAGCAGGACGCCACTGACCGAAACCATTTCCTTTCCTGGTGCGCAAACCACGAGATCCGGTGGAAGTTCATTCCGCCACGTGCGCCTCATTTTGGAGGCCTCTGGGAGGCTGCGGTGAAGTCCGCGAAGACCCACCTCCTCAAGGAAATTGGCAATACGAATCTTGCCTACGAGGATATGCTCAACTTACTAGCGCAGGTTGAGATGTGCCTCAATTCGCGACCATTAACGCCCCTGTCCTCAGAACCATCGGACCTGGAAGCCCTGACACCTGGTCACTTCCTGGTAGTTTCCAACCTCCAATCCGTTCCCGAAGCAACATTGGTCAACATTCCCGAAAACCGGCTCAACCATTAGGAACAAACTCAGCGCCACCTTCAACGAATCTGGGCACGTTGGTACCCGGAATACCTCCAGCAGCTGCAGTCCAGGGCTGTTCAAGACTGCAAATCACCTAGCAAAATCGAGATCGGATGGCTTGCCGTGATCAAGGACGATTGCCTACCACTCGCTCAATGGCCCCCGGGCAAAATTGTGAAGGTCCATCCTGGGAAAGACGGGATCGTCAGAGTGGTCACGCTGAAGACTGCCTCCTCGGACAACGTCATGCAACCCGTCGCGTGGATTGCCTTGCTACCAATACCCAACGATCAGTCCGATGCAACAGTCGGAGACCATTAGAGCAGTACCAAACTGGCTCCAGGCTCAAGTAGAAACCAGGTTATTACCATTCCAATAAATCTAATCCACCCGTATGATCTACCCTTTTTGTTTTCGGCTGACAACAACGAGGTCAACGCACTCAATCTATCTACTGCATCACCGCTGTTAAGAACACCCGATTGAACAGAGAGTCGAGCAAACAATCCTCTCAGGTGACGCAGATACCACTAGCAAGCGAAGATGCATAATTAGTGATTGAGTGAACTAGTATTAGTGTTGAAATGATAGGGCTATTACAAAGCTGGCCGGAATGTTGAGGCCTTGCCGTAAACCTAAATCTAAATTAATATATACTTTAGTCAAAGATTGCCAAACCTACCCTAAAACTACGGCTTATATACTTAAGGATGCATGTGTGATAATGGATAACAGAGAGAGTAATAACGAATACCATTGTAAAAATACAAGTATTTCACTTGGTCAACCCGATCAAAACAATCAGTCCAAACTCAACTCACAGCGTGAATACACGGTCGATTGTGCGCGTCAAAACGAAACACAAATTTCTTGATCCAAGGTCCGAAAGTAGGTTTTTAGTGCTTGTCCGCGACTTTAGCGCAAAGTGGGAAAGCAGAAGATTATTCAATTCCTACAACGGTGCGCGATCGATGTGTGCTAGTCTAGCGCTCTAGTGAAAGAGCGAGGATAGCAAAAACAAGTGCAAGTTAGTGCAGCCGTTTCGACGGCGAAAAAAAAACCTTCGGTCCAGCAATTACAGCCAACTGGCTTGTACACCATCTCATCATCATTTTGAAATGCACAAATTTTCCGGATAAATTTCCTTCGACTGAAACTTGTTCCAGTTAGCAGATTTTCAGTTTTTTTTTTAATTTATTTGTACAGGCTTAATCGAATAAACTTTACAGAGCCAAGTTATCATTTGCGTTCTACCTAATAGATGCTTTAAAGCTAAAGTTAAAGGAATTGAACCGATTACTCGCGGTCGTCTCGAGGTTAGTAGAGATTTACAGTTTTATGGATGGGGAGAGGGAGAAGGAGGTTTGAGTTATGATTTACGATCCAAATATTCCATTATTCCTAAATCATGAACTTATTCTTATTCAATACGGTATCCGCAGTGGAATTATAAAATTATTACAGAAACAAACATTAAAAAAAAACCACACGAACAAAACAAAAACTAAACACAAGGTTAGTCAAACTTACAATCTAAGGTTAATATTCTTTAAGAAAACATATATGAGTTTCATAAACTCCAGATCACGTCTACCCAAAATATCCCGAACTGGAACATTAGGTAGTCCACCTCGAGCCCGAAGGGAATCGTACAGCTCAGATCTGACTCCACGATACTCAGCACATGACCAAATAATATGACCGGCGTTCTGGTAACATTGTCCACATTCACAGAAATTGCTGTCCCCCAGCCCAACACGGAACAAGTGAGCGTTTAACGAATAGTGATTGGACATGAGGCGAGACATCATACGAATGAAGTCTCGACCCACATCCAACCCCTTGAACCAAGGACTCCTCGACACCTTAGGGATGATCGAATATAGCCATCGTCCCAAACTTCCTTCGCTCCATTTATTCTGCCAGCTGACGAGTGACTGTTGGCGATAAATGAAGAAAAATTCATCGTAGGCGATTTGTCGATCGTAAATATCGCCTTCCATAGCGCCCACCTTTGCAAGCGAGTCCGCCTTCTCATTTCCCGGAATCGAGCAATGAGATGGCAGCCATGCAAAGGTGATGACAAAAGATCTTAAAGATAAAGCACTTAGAAGCTCTCGTATTTTCATGAGAAAATACGAGGAGTGCTTTACCGGCCTCATAGAGCGAATAGCCTCGACAGAACTGAGACTATCCGTAATCCGCCAGCTCAGCAATATACACGGAACAGGGAGCTTGAAGCATTCGAGAGGCGCTATGAAATTCGTTAAAAATACCAAAACCAGCGGACGACTCTATTAATGATCCATCTGTGAAGAACGATCTTGCGGAGTCAACTTGGCCAAACTTTGCAGCGTAAATTGACGGAACAATCTTGGAACGATGAAGTTCTGGGATCCCACAAATCTCCCGCGTCATAGATACATCAAAACTAACTGAATTGCCGAAGTCGGAGAAGCATACACGATGAGGATTATGCTGGGAAGGGCTGACATCCAGTGTTATATACACGTAGTACAATGACATAAAACGAGTTTGAGGGATAAACTCAAGATTCTTTTCAAAGTTTTCGATTACCAGTGAGTTCATAACTTCACAACGGGTGAGGAGCCTGAGGGACAATTCCGAAAACCGATCCCATAGTGGCAACATGCCCGTCAAAACTTCTAGACTCATCGTATGAGTCGAGTGCATGCATCCTAACGCGATACGAAGACAACGATACTGGATACGTTCCAGTTTGATGATGTGAGTTTTAGCCGCCGACTGGAAACAAAAACTACCGTATTCTAAAACCGATAAAATCGTTGTCTGGTACAACGTAAAAAGATCGTGTGGATGAGCTCCCCACCACGTTCCGGTAATTGTTCGGAGAAAATTGATCCTTTGTTGGCATTTTCGTCTCAGATACTCAATGTGGGATCGCCAGGTGAATTTGGAATCGAACCAGACCCCAAGATATTTGAAAGACATGGAATGAGTGAGATGTAAGACTTTCAGTTAATGGTCTTCAATTCTTTACGATAAAATTCTTATTAAATTGTCCGAGATTTGTGCTCTAGAAAACTTGAAGTGATAGGGCATGGACGCTCCAAGGAATCACCTTAACTTTAGTTTCATATATTAAAAAGAATGAATGATGCTCGACCGATACCATCCCTGCCTACTGCCGATAAAAAAGCATTCAAAGTTATCCAAGCATCAAGCGAGAAATTCAACCCACATTCGCCGAAAAATCATCATTTTGCTATCTCTTTTCTGCTTGGTAGACTAGTAGTTCCATCGCGTAAATTTCCTACACCAACAATAATGAAGCGTTACATCCTCCTCCCTTAGATAAATAAGATGATGATTGATTTTTGACACTGCGCGCGTTGTGGTACAGAAGTAGGCTTTTAAGAAAACTAAACAAAGTGAGCCCGGGGATGGATGGACGTTCATCGATTGCCAAGTGAGAAGCGAATGAACAAAGAGACAAGCATATCCTAGTACCCTCTTCATGTTGGAGTGACAGCTCATCCTTATCAAAATATATCCCGAAAAAGAGTTGAGCCACGTGTCAGTTTTTCGGATATTGATTTCTCTCTTCCGAACACGAGTTAAAGCAGCAGTTTGAAGGCAATTTTTTGTACAACCAAGCACTCTGATCACGAGAACATTGCACGTATACCACGCAAATATAGCCCAATCCCCTACAGGCTCATTAAAAAAAATTGGAAACTTTCAATCTAACCTCTCGTGTGCTCCGGTGCTCGTTTCAACTTTAATCAATTCCGCGGGATCCCCGTGAAATTTTTAACGAGTCTACTTTCCACAAGGCACGCAAGCACCCTCAAACAGCCTGCAGGGTGAATGTGGGAGCTTTTTCGCTTTCTGGTTTTTGTTTCATTTCCCTCCGCGGTGCGCGGGTCAGCAAAGTATCCGTAAAGTTTGCGTTCGGGGTTTTTTTTTGTGGGCATCCATTTTTCATCGAAACGGATGTGGCCGTGGAAAAGTCTGCAAATGAGGTTCACAAATTCCGGTGAAATATTCAACGATCCCATCGGATGCTTGTATCGGCAGGCCTATCATAATGTCGGTGATGGTTGTTTGAATGGGTATAATTAGTGGAAAAGGGAGAGAAAGAATGAACGGGTACCTGCCCACGAATGATCCGGATGCAGTAAGCTGATGTTTTTGTGCTGCAAGAGACTTTTGTTTTGCAATTTTCCCTCCTCATGGACACGGAGGTTGGCGGTAATGAAGCAAAGAGTTATATTAAGTCTCTTTATATTTGCAACTATGGTGATTTTACATAGTGAAACGAGTACTGCAAAATCTTGACAATACACGGTGATATTGACAATTCTGCTTTGGTCACTCATTTGAGCTTACATTCATCATCAAGGAAAACCATCCCAAGTAACATTTTAAGTTTTATGAAATACTACAAAGCAACTATAAAACAACATTCATAAAACTCTGGTCAACGCTGTTTTGTCATTACTGCATCCACCAAAACCTCATTAAGACTAGAATATGTCTAGCTGGCCCATTCTGGAGAAGGTTCTGAAGGGTGTATTCTCAAAGCTCTTCAAGATTGATTTACTGCAAAAAGTTGTAAGACGAACGCATTGAGAACCATTTGAAAGCTACAATAAAAGCTATTTAGAGATAATAAAATCGCTTTTCGAGTCATTTCCCCTAGCTACTTGCTAAATCCACTGCTTTACTATCCGATTTATGAATCCGATCTTATCAAAATAATTAAAATAGAAACTGATGGTATAAAAATCTTGTTAAATATCCAACTTTATTACAATAGTTCTCATTAAGTCGCCTAGTTTTAAGTGCCTTATTAAATTTTATGTGAAATCTACATGAAAACATCGAAATAAACAAGTCCGCCCTCGTAAAACGTCGATTTGACTAATTATTTTACATTGAAGAAAAAAAACAAATTAATCTTTAGATCGAGCTTGGCCGAGATTGTTTTTTTTAATGATTTTCGCATTTAAATGTTTTCTTATTGCAAAATTTACCAAAATATAGTTAAATTCAAGGAAATATAGATTGAAAATCGAAGAATGTAAAAAACAAGCCAACTAATTGTAACATGACGGTGGCATAAAAGTTGATTTTCATGGGTCATTTGTGAAAAAGTTGTTTTGCTTTCAAGAAATCCTTAACAAATTCATAAGGTTTTAAAGTGGCTTTTATGAAGAAAACTTGCAGGCTGAATTGTATTTATCTAAAGCTTGCATTTTGCTTGATTCTAACCCGTTCAGATTTATGGCAGCATTTATGGAGGCAAAGTTGCCTGCGAAAAGTTAAACGTCAGA